TACTTCTATTACAGATATAGTGAAGAATAATTATCGATCATAAAACCACAATCATTACAAAAAAAACGTCAGAATAATCGAAAAAAATGTACGATTGATCGCCAATTTTTTAGCAATTTCGAGAAGATGGTTATTTAGAAATTGCATATTACTTATTTCAGAGCTTGAAATATATAATAGAACGATCAAATGTGTATACTGAGTAATTACTTCTGTGATATTCTAATATTTATTGCTATGGCTGTAGAATCATTCTGAATAAAAAGAAAATATGATTTATTTATTTGGTTGTTACATGGCTGGCTAGTGTAGATCTTGATCGATTGATTGGATAGTAAATATGCAGAAGATGCCACTGCTTGATAGAAGTTTTTTAAATTAAATGTTTTTGTTTTAATGTTTTCCTTTTAAAAGTGAATTCAATAGAATGCAACTATGGTAAACATGCAACAAGATATAAGATTTGTATGGAAGGTCTTTCAACTAAATAATTTGAACGAAGCTCTTGAAAGAAATAAACCTGCTTAGATATGGTCTAACATTATTAAATTGATTTTTCAAAGTCGATGTTCAACTTAATTAAAAATAAAACTGAAATAAGAAATCATGAAAGTTAATATTTATTCATTTGTTGCCTAATCCTACGAGTCATGAAGTTTATATTTGAAATACGATCCTGTCGACTATTATAATAAACATACAATGAAATCATGTATATTAATGTTCGACACCCACTTACTAATACTTTCACAAATATATATGTCACTTGAAAACATGTTGTTTTTTTCATCTTCTCGTCTTTTATAAATTATTTAGAATGTGTCGGTTTTAGTTTTCTAAGTCATACAATATAAGAGAACACTAATTAGATACTGTATGTAAAAGACATCATTCTAGCAATTAAACAACAAATCTTATTTGTCACTACATACATATTTGAATGTCACTATGAATGTAACTGTATCGATCATATTTTCTTTAGCTAACAATCGATCAAAAGATGTTTGAATCATTTCCATTACGCTGTTGTAAAAATTACGTTTATGATTGTTGCTTGAATGAAGATGAAATTAAAGATAAACATATTAATAAAAGAGATCAGACAAATATGTAATCAAAATATTTATAAAAGAAACGCAATTCTTTTAGGTAATGACTAAAATTTTACTTGAATTATGTAATGAAAGAATTATTTTTCCACGAAGTGCTGAAGCTGAAAAGTGAACTTGCATATATCGACATATAGTGACAGACGAAATTTTAAGGCAGTTGTATTTCCGAGTTTTCTTCTTGATGATAATAGCAGGAAAGAATCCGAAAAAAGATCTACAGACCTGAAATGATTTTCTGTTGAGATTGGTACGTCTGAAATTTTATCAAAATTTCTTAAATGAAGGTCTTTAGAAAACCAAGACCCAAACTAGCTCGCTGGATTCGATGCGAAACTTTTTGTAGACAATGTTCTTTTGATAGAGCGAAGATTTCTAAACAAGATTTGTCGTCTTCGAACTTCCCATGAACTTGTATAGTCAAACTACGTTCAAATTTAGAATTGTTCAATGAGTATTTTTCTCTGACTTTTTTTTTTTAAACTCAGTCGTTTTGCTATATTTCACGCTTCCAAATCTTTCTTAAGTTGAATATAGTTTATTGTGTCAAGTAATGCAAACTCTTTGCAATCCATTTGAAAAACCTCAAAATGAAATATGACATGTATTTCGTAAATTAATTCAAAATAGAAAACAATGTTTTGTGTACAATTATGTTTGTTTATTGATTACATCAAATGGTGATGATTATAATTATTACAATATATCAAAGCTATCACTGCAAATGGTTGATACTATCAAACACATCTAGTCGGATGGAGGCATCCAACTATGTTATCGTCGATGACGAGTATATTGACTGGCCGACTCAGCTAAATAGTAGTTAATATGAATTAATAGCTTATGTTAAGGTAATCGAAAAAATTCTGTTCTTTCTTTGTTTCAAAATTTTTGTAATATTTATTACATATCAAGTAATTATGTTTCTAAAACAATATTATCATGCAAAGAATTTTAAAAGGCTAACTCGAGTCTATCTTTACATTTTAATACACAAAATATTTGGAGAAACAGTCGATGAAATAATATTTTTATTGTGTTTAGTTTTGTGGATAACATTGATAGAGGTTCTGAAGAAAATTGCATACCTATAACAGAGTAAGATACATTTTCTTTTGAAATATAATTTATAGATAATATTCATCATAGAATTGTTAATATTTAGATTCTTCAATATATATCTCAAGCTGATTTTATATTCGTATTCTTTATTTAAAATGTAACAACTGTCATTTTGTGTTGCATTGCTTATTGAATATGATCACGATAATGCCGACGATTCTTCTAAACAAGTTTATTGAATGAAACAAAATACATGGAAATCAAAGTAGAAATTTATGCTTTAGAACTTAACGGAAGGAAATTTGGCATTATTGGGTGTTATTCTATCATTAGACTATCTTTGCAATACATCTATTATTCTTTTTCTTAACAAACCTGATGTGTTTCTAGAACGACTTGCTAGTAAACCTATTCGATGTACCTACCCTGAATTTGGTTGTAATTTTAGTATAGACAATAAAAGAAAATTTGTTGATGGCCCGTTTTTAAAAAATAATTTTTCTCTATATGATGCATAGGTACTGATGATGGCGTTAAAGCTACAAAAAAAATTGTTAAAAATAAGTATCTGAGTTCTATACCAGATAGAGAATATTTGAAGAACAATATGCATCCTTATTTTACATGTTCGATCGGTTAAGCTTTTGTACACTCTTCTTATTTTGTTTCTAAGCAATGCACCTTTATTTATTACAATTTTAGATAGTAAAAATATTCAAATTATTTTCAAGGAGGTTAAACACAAACTTTTTTGTGAGATTCTAGATGATTTTTAATCATATATAATCATACGAAATCTTGAATGTTATTTATATTTAAAAACCATATCAGATCAAAAATAGAACGATCGAGATCTTATGATCTATTGCAATAAGTTAATAGACATCGAATAAAAATCTTAAAAAAAACAGAAGAAACAAGAAAAAGAAGATACCTCGCAGCGTTACCACCATCTAAATGTAGTTAACTCTATTCACTGTGATTTTTAACTATTAAGTAAACTCTCGAAACCTTAAAGCAAAATTCATTTTGTCAAAACTGAATAGAACAATAATCAAATTTCTAGATTTGTATTCTTTTATTCTATTTTATTTATTTATTTTAATTTTAATATATTGTTGTCTTTTGATAAATTATCTAATGAGTTATATACAGGGTGTCCCAAAAAAATGTATACACATTTCATTTTTTCGATTTCTTCTCTATACTTTGATAGTCAGAGTTCATATTTTGAGTAGATATATTAGATTGTAGGAGCCAACTAATTAAGATGTCATCAGTATTGGACTACTGTATTTTGTTGTTAAATGAACGAATGCCTCTTGCGTATCCTGGTATGAATACAAAAGGCTCTTCTTATTGCAATTAGCCTTTTTATCTTATTTGTGTCAAAATCATGATATGAACCGGTTTTAATGCGTTCTTCGGACGAGAAACGAAACAGAGAAATAAGCTATGCCGCATTGATTCCGTAAGTATGAGCCAAAAAAGATGAAAAAGTTAACTGCAACAAGAAGAACATGTTGTATTCATACAAGGATACGTAAGATGCATTCGTTCATTTAACAACAAAATACAGTAGTCCAATACTGATGACATGGTAATTAGTTGGCTCCTACAGTCTAATATATGTGCTCAAAATATAAGCTCTAACCATCAAAGTATAGAGAAGAAATCGAAAAAATGAAATGTATATACATTTTTTTTTTTGGGACACCCTGTATATTTTAATTGTATCGATACGGATAAAACATCGAATTATGACTTAATATTACGATACATTTTTGAATAGAGAAAACATTTTTTTTTAACTTTTGAAATTTTAGTGAATGTAATAAAGTTGCAGTTTTTTCCAAGTGTTTATAATGAGTGCAAGATGAAAAAATATTCTCGTTGTCGAGAGAAAAATAATCTTGAATACATAAAAATATTATTTTTGTTAATATCCTTCTTTTGAAAATCAACAGAAAAAAATAAATATTAAGTTTGTCAATTCATAATGCAGTACTGATCAAAGCGCAGACACGATATGTGGGACTATTAACGTTGGACATATCATAATTAAAGATTGGATAAAAAATGAATTGAATTCGAACCATGATAATTTTTCTTAAATTTCTGTTTCACTATAATTTAGTCTAAAATGAATTGCAAAGAAAAAACACCGTTGGCAACTATATGTAGTATTCAATCATTATTAACTTGTTTAGAAAAATAATAAGCATTCGGTTATTTAGTGCCCATAATCATATTGAAACGTTATAAAACAACATATTAGCATTCTTTTAAAATTTTCTTCCTTTTCAGAACATATGAAACCAATTTAGTCTTGAATAATTTCTCAAGTTTTTTTCTTATTTATTCGGAAAAAGTTTATTATTGAGTTTTTCTTTTTCAGTTAAATTATTCTAACTGTCTCTATTTATTTGACATGTAAAATTTATTCTTTGTACGATTACTGTTTATCGTGTTTCAGTTCCTTTATTGCGATTGGTTTGTAGGTGAGGAAAGATTTTTCATTTTAAGACGAAGGCGATCAGTCATGATCGTGCGTCTTTTTTTTTCATTCCTATACATCACACTTGCATGAAATCTCATGTTTTTTCTCCCTTTATGGTGTCTCAGCAATCATTAATAGTAATTCTCACTGTATTACTCACTCGTACAAGAACACGAAAGCAATAAAATAAAATTTGCATCAGCAAAAAATATAGTTAAGTATATGGGTCGATAGGGCATCTTTCTGGATATTTACATATGTATATACTGCATTGGCATAGTTGACTCGTTTTATTTTTCAGACTAATAATTTAGATTGTAGTCATAAAAATGATGTTTAACCGGTTTCTTCCATCTTGCTGTAAGAATTATGTATGTGACTGTTGTCTAACTACCGATGAAATTATTAATAAAGGTGTTAATGAACAACTTAAACAATGGCGTCGAGAAAATTTACATGAGAGAAAATTACTCCTCTTAGGTAAGTATTAATATTATGTAACAATTATGTAAATAATAAATTTTTTTTTTTAAATCATTGATTTTCAGGAAACGCTGAAGCTGGAAAGTAAATTTGCATATGATTGTAATTAGAATGATTATTAATTTTTTTCTTATTAGATCAACATTTCTCAAACAAATGAAATTAATTCATGGTCAAGGTTTTAAAGCAGATGAAAAACGTCGACTTATTCCATTCATCTATCGACAAATAGTTAATGTTGTACGATGTATTTGTCGAGCAATGCATATTCTTCAAATTAAATTTGAAAATGAACGAAATGAAGTATGATTATGAGTTGTGATTCAGTTAAATAAAAGCTCATAACTTTATTTATATAGGAATATGCTCGTTTATTGAGTTCACCGAATGATGATGATGATGATGATAGTATATCAACATTATCACCTCGAATGGCTGAAGCTATTCGATATGTTTGGTCCGATGAGGGTGTTAAAACATGTTATCGTCGACGACGAGAATATCGATTGCCTGATTCGGCAAAATAGTAAGTCTGATGAATAAATCATTAGTAGTTTAGCAAATAAATACGTTGTCCTTCTTCATCAATTACATGATCTTGAAGAGTGAGTTGAATAAGATAATTACTTTATAATTGAGTCTATTCATTTCTTATTCCGAGAAGATATTGAATGATATTATTAATAGCATTATTTTTTTTTCTTTTTCTAGTTTTTTAGATGATATAGATCGAATATCTGCCCAAAATTTCACACCAACTGATGATGATATATTACGAGTACGTATTCCAACAACAGGTATTGTTCAAGAAGATTTTCAATTTTCTCATGTTCGACTTCGGTAAGATATTTTTCATAGCAATTGATAATCATATTTGTTACTTATTAAACTCTTGTATTAGAATTGTCGATGTGGGTGGACAAAAGACAGAACGTCGAAAATGGATTCATTGTTTTGATGTAAAAGTTTTCTGAGATATCCTAAATTGATTTGTATTTTACTCTTGATTTAGAATGTAACATCTATCATTTTTCTTGCATCTCTCATTGAATATGATCAAAAAGTCGATGATCATCTGGAACAAGTCTCTAATATTTAACAAGAAAATTTTGTTAAAATTATAATAGAAATTTGTTTTTTAGAATTTAATGGAAGAAAGTTTAGGGATATTTCGTGTTATTTTAGCATCAGATTATTTTTTCAATGCGTCTATTATTCTTTTTCTTAACAAAACTGATCTATTTCCAGAACGCCTTGCTGGAAAACCTATTCGATACGTCTATCCTGAATTTGATGGTAATCTAAGAGACGAAAATAGAAATGAATGCTTATAATTCCGTTTCAATATTTGTTTCTTTTCTTTTTTTTTAACGTAATTTATAGGTGCTGACGATGATGTCGAAGCTGCTCGAGAATTCATTAAGAATAAATATTTAAGTTCAGTACCGAGAAGTGAACGATACACAGAGAAAAATATCTATCCTCATTTTACATGCTCCGTTGGTAAGAATTTATTTTATTTTGTTACTTACCAATTAAATTATTCGAATGAAATTTAGATAGCAAAAATATTCGAATTGTTTTTGAATCAGTCAAAGATACGGTTCTTGCACATAATCTCTACTATTGGACACCATACTAAATTCTCTATTATGTATATTTATATTTATATGTATTTCTATTTGAAAAAAAAATAAACGTCAGATCGAAAAAAAACAAACATAATCATACATAATTTTTTTTCTTTTATCATTCATTTCAATAACTCGGATACAGAAAAAGAGAAAACACAAACTATGCATAAAAAAACTAAAAGATACCGATTAATGCTCATCAATAGTTTCGTCATCCCAATTCACCAAACTATGTCGAGCACTCAAACCTTCTTGTTCGCCTAGTAACCAATATGTTCTTTGTTTTCCTTTACCCTAATAAATAGATGTCATAATGAAATAAATAAAGGACCAAACACCAAAAAGACAAACCTTCATTTCAATATCACCACGTAATCTTAGTTCAAATGTACCAAATTTCTGTAAAATAGCTGCTGTACTAGATGATACATGAATACGTAATGCTTTACCATTTGATTCCATTCGGGATGCAGTATTAACCTTTTGGAATTAACAATAATTTAATGTTAGATTTATTGTTAATAAACAAGAAAAGAAATAACTTACCGTATCACCAAATAGACAATATCGTGGCATTTTAAGACCAACAACACCAGCTACACATGGGCCAGAATGAATACCAATGCGTAATAATAATTGTGTATCAGGTCGATGTCGAATACGAAAACTGAGCACAGCATTGAGAAGAGCTAATGAAAGACGAGCTATTTCTCGAGCATGTAAATCCCCATTACGTGTCGGTAGACCAGAAACGACCATCTATTTAATACAAATATAGGTAATCTTTTCTTCTTCTTCTTCTTTTTGTCTCCACGGAAAAAGAAAAAAAGACGATCTTACATAAGCATCACCAATTGTTTCAACTTTATAAACATCATAATTTTCAGTAACACCATCAAAAACTGAATAAAGATCATTTAAAAGATCAACAACTTGTAATGGTGTACTTTCAGATGATATCTTTGTAAAACCAACAATATCAGAAAAATAAATCGTAACACATTCAAATGATTCAGCTGTTACTGGTCGGCCACCCATTAATTGTGAAGCAACCGATCTATGCAAATATATTTCAAATACAAATCTTTTTTTTTTTTCAAAAGTGTATTTCTTGTGTCATAAAAAATTAAAAGAAAAGATATTTATAAAAATTTATTTTGTTGAAGTTAAGTATTACAATGAAAAAAAAAAAGAAAAATTAAAAACTTTCTGAAAAAAAATCTTCTTCGAGAGTTGAAGAAATAATTAAATGCGTGTGAACAATTTACTATTTATGGATTATATTTAAAAATTTTATTTCAATTAGCTTTTTTCTTGTATAGAGTTTATTTTCCTTTGTATGTGTAGGTGTAGTTCTTCTCTACATCAAAATCCTACACATTCCAACTTCAAAACGTAGAAAAGAAAAAATTATAATAGATGAATATTTAATGAATTTGCATCAACGTTCTGATGAAGGTCATATTGATTTTCCAGTGTCTTTGAAAGTAGCTGAACTGTGATTTTTTTAACTTTCATGAAAAAAAATTAAACGATCAACTTGCTTTGTTTTTTTATTATTTTTCTTGATGTGTTTATTGAGACTTTAATTTGTTCTCACAGTACATTAATTATCTCAATGACTACTTATGGGCTCATTTTTCTTCTTTCACATAAACAACAGACGATAAATCGTGTAAACTAATTAAATGATGTGTTTATTTGTAAATCTTTTTTCTGTTAATCATCATAACAAGTAATGACACGATCTTTCGGTCAATGACAGATGCATTATTTTTAAAAAAAGCAGCCATCTCATTACTCAATTTGTTTACTATATAATGCAGTACTCAGATGAAATACAATGATAAATAATGCCTGTCTTTAACTGTTAAAAACAAGTAACTCTATATCACTGTCAGTTGTATGTCAACTAGAATGATTAATAATGATCGGCACCCCTATGGAAAAATGATCTCTGTAAATGTGAAGTGGTGTGGGAGGGAGAATATTGGGGATGTACGACTCAGCCCTTCTCACATGGCAAGGTTTATAAAAGATGTATTCTTTTTTGATACAAAATCCATTAGTTTTTGCAATAAAACTTTTGAACACCTATATCTTATTTTTTGGCACACATTTGTATTCTTGAAGAAAACAAAATAGTGTAAAATTAAGTTCATTCTTGAGATATCCGAAGTTTTACCCAGTTCTTCAATAAAAAGCTATGATTATTTTTAGCTCATCTGAAAACTCAACTTTCGAGTTTTGAATTCAAACTTTGCACGAACAAAGTTTTCAATCACATTAATTCATAGGAAAAGTTGTAACTTTTCTAGTATTTCTTATCCTAACACATTGAACATTCGAAATTTTTCTATGTGTAAAAGCAAATATTGTTCATATACTTACATCTTTAGAAATGAAATAATAGAAATGCGGTTTGACAACTAGAGAGGTTTCCTCACGAGTCTTCTCTGCTCCTCCGCTTCCCGCTGGTTTCGCCACTGATTTGAAGTAATCAGATATATCTATACGGTATACATGGTTTATTCTGTCATTTATCTGTTGTCTATCACTGAATGTAACATATAAAAATTCTGCACAAAATAATAAAATTTTCTATGAGAAAAACTATTGATAAGAAAAAAAGTTTTTATCAAATGTTTAAATACATACGCAGGTAATAATTGATAAAGTAATTCTTCAGCTTTCTTTTTTTCAGCTAAATAATCACTTGTACGTTCTTCAACAAGACCCTTGAGAAAGAAAAAATTTGAATTTTTAATTCATTCTAATGAAAATTAATTGTAAACTAACTTCAAGATTGTTTGCATACTGTTCCATACGTTTAAGTAAATTATCAAGAATATTTCCACTTTCTCCATCTCTGAAAAAAGAGAAAAAAAAAAAAGAATTAAGTTTTTTTTAATATCGAAATTTTCATATTTACTTATTTATTCGACGCATAACTTGTCGAATATCAGTAAAATCTGGTCTTTCATTTGGGTCTTCATTCCAACAACGTTTCATTAAATGTCCTATTTCAATATTACATTCACCCGCTTCAATTGATGGCCGAAGTAAACTGCCTGATTTCACACTTTCAACAATGGCTATGGAAAAGGAAAAAAAAAACGATTTCAAATAATTTTTATTCATATTAAAATAATTTTACCAGCTGGTTCTAATTCTTGATCTCGTAAATAAAAAGGTCCATTACGTAATTCAATTTCTTGTAAAATAATACCAAAACTATACACATCACCTTTAGCTGTACCCGCAGCTGGTGGATTTGAGTCTCGTAATAATTCTGGTGCTGTCCATAATCGATCTAAAATATATATATAAAGAAAAATTTTCTTACAAAAAAGTTTTTGTTTTTTTTAAATAATCATACTTCTATAATATGTATAATCTCTATCAACACCTGGCAATGCATCTTTATTTGTATTTGATCGTAATGTTGGTAAACCAAAATCAGTTATTTTACAAATAAATCGACTATCGACAACACAATTTGAACTTTTTAAATTTCCATGTGATCCAATTTGACTATTATGTATATGTTGCATACCCTAGATGAAAATATTTTATTCTTTTAATATTAATTTAAAAACAATTAAATACTTTAACAATATCATGCATGATGGAATGTTTAAACATTGTATCAAGTTTTATTTCGTCATTTTCAAGAATATCCTTATTAAAAGAAGACAAATGAAAATAAAGATAATTACGAAAATATTAAACCTGTAAACTGCCTTTTGGACAATATTCTGTTACTATATATTGATGTTTTGGATCAATACATATACCAATAAAACGAGCTATATGATCGTGTGTAAGATCTTGCATCTATAATATTCATAAATGAATCTTTTTAATAAAAATAAAAATTATTTTTCTACTCAACTGCTTTAACTTCTAATTGAAGTGCACGTGTTGTTTCAAGTTTTCCTTTATGAAATCGTTTAAGAGCAACAACTGATGACTAAAGACCAAATAAAAGAAATTTTTTTTTAAAATAGAATAATCATAATATTTTTTACTTTGTAAACAGCTGTTTTTGTAAATGTTTGTTTCGATGGTCCACATGATTCACTATCAGCTGAACGATAACTTGAAACAGAACTACGCTAAAAATAAATAAATAAAAAAAAAAACAAAAGCAAAGTTAGTCTTCATATCAAATTAAAAAGAAAAAAAAAAAACGCAACAATCGAGCACGACTAACATGCAGAAAAAAATAATAATAATAAATATACGCAAAGTACTGTGTAAAGTAAAAATAAAAGAACAATGTTCACTCATATGTACATATAAAGATGTGTTGATGTTTAATACAACGAAGAAATGATTGTAATAGAGAATAATCAATCTCTACAATCATTTCGAAGAGCGAAAAAAAAGCCAGTGATAAAAACTCGTGCAGACCAAATAAAGTAAAAAAAATTGAGAGAGAGAACTTTTCGAATGAACAAGTTCATGAAAATGCTCACATACTCACTGACTTCTGTTCTGAAAAATCCTGACAATTATTGGAAAACAAGATAATAAAAATATAATTTAGCTGATGTTTTTTTTTTTTTTTTTTTTTTGAAAAAAATTACTTTTATTGAACTAGATAATTTATTGAATGATGGTGTAGCAACACCATTATGTAATAGTGTTCGTGTTGTTAAGTCTTCCCATTTAATTATCCATTGCATTGCTTTTAATTCAGCTTCAAATTTTGCTCGTCTTGAATTAAGATTCATTAAAGAAATAAAAACAGACGAAAGAAAATTTTCTTTTCTTACCGATATAAAATAAAACCGACAATGAGAAGAAGAACAATAATTGCTGAAAGACTTATAATAATCCAACCCCATATCGGAATGAGAGCTAGAATAGGAAACAACGATAAAAAAAAAAACCTGTGATATAATTGAATTTTTATTTGAACAGACTTTTTTTAGGACATTTTATATTATTAAAGCCACATCGTGGAGTATCAGGAATGAATGATGAATTTTTGTCAATAAAA